AGAACGATCATGTTTAAAGAGAAGGTAGAAATAAAGGACAGAAACACCAGCAAGACAGAAACACACTGAAAAATAGGACCAGTCGCTTGTCTTCTGTATCCTGAAGCAGCCTACTTATGGGTTAGAGGTGCTGGACTAACTCTCTCCTGGCTGCCTCATCAGAAGGGCCAACATACCTGTGCTCCTGGAAAAGGAGAGACATCCCACTGAAGTCAACCTGGCATCGGTTCAGTCAGAGGGTGTGGTCCAATGCACAACAAACCACAAGGACAAAGCTGTCAATGTCAAGGCTCTACTCTGTGATGATTCAGGACGTTCAATCTTCCAGTAGGGCAAACTGATGACACTAGTGAGTGAAGATGTTTTGCATCAGCCCACAGACTCCAGCAGGCTTCCTGCAACACTGTTGATCCAGCTGTCATGCTCTCCCAGCCTGGCACAGAGAAATGTGCCAGGCCCAGCATCCGGCTCTCCACATACGTGCTGGGTTTCCATGGCTGTTGCCATAAACAGTCTGACCTTTATTTCAATAGTACATACGTATTCTTTTTGACCTCCATGTTTTCATCTTTGGCTACTCACTACACCCCTCCTCACACTATATAACAGTTCTTTTCTCCACCATCTTCTGCAAGGAGCTCATTTGTCAAAGAGACAAGATCTTTAAGGATGTAGAGGAAGAAGCTTGTCAACACTGCTTTTGTCCCACCATTTTTTTTGGAGGGGAGACAGAGCCCAGCTAGCCATGAAGAACATGGCTAGTTTCTTTAAATGAACTTTAAAATAAATGTTGGTCAAGGGCACAGTTCCCTCATGTCAATGAAAAGGGGCCCACCCTGGAAGGAAACCAGTTAATTGGGGTGCCACTACTCCCAGCCAAAGGCAGCCACCTGCCTTGGGTGTTGCAGGTGCAGGGGGACCACATTTACCCCCTAGATACTGCTGGGAGCAGAGACAGTGCCAAATTGCTTCTGGTGTACATGATTTGAGCATAAAACAGAGAGAGGCAGTGTGAGGTGGGCCAGCAGCAGCTGACTGTGCTGGAGTGAACCCCAGACATCACAGCATCTGGGCTTCCTACCATGCCAAATCCTTGGCCTCCCTTCTCAGCTCTACACCCGGATTTCTAATTTTGAGGCTCACTAAAAAAAATGTGGTCTTCTTGACAATGTAAGATCTGAAATGCTTCATAGAGATAAAAGATTTTAAAAACTCCCTGTCTTGATGCAAGTCCCCCACAGGAGAGGTACCCCAGATGAGCATGCACAAACTGCAACACCATCACCTCCTGGGGCATGATGTACAGCAGGGAGGTGAGGGCTCATTCTCCAGGTGCTGGGCTGATCTGCTGAGGTAGAGTTGAACATTCACCTCATCATTCACAACTCTTTGAAGCAGTGATTTTATTTTTTGTTCTTTTTTTCTCCCAAACTCTTCCAGTGCCCAGTGCCTTCCTGCAGTGGTGAGGTGAGGCTGAAGGCTCAGAAACAAGCACTTCCTAGAGGAGGCTCAGAAACAAGCACTTCCTAGAGGAGCACAGCCCTAGGGCTGGCAGACAACACCACCAGAAACTGCATGGAAGAAAAGGAAGCACTGCAGTGCACAGAGCTCATCAGTAGGTACCAGCTGGGTGATGCTCTGCTCTGGCCAAAGGGCAGCCAGAGCCGTAGTCACACCATCATGGTCTCTGTGAATGTTTAATGCTCTGTTGTTTAGAACTGATTATTTCAGACATGCAAATCAGACCAGTGCCTTTTTCAGGTTTTAAGGTGAGTGTGAAATACTGTGGCAAATATCACAGCTCTGATTCAGCAGGGAATGGGTACAGCAAAAATGGAGAGAATTTATCCTAGTGGAAGCAGATATGTTTCTCCACTAGAGTCTGGGGTACCCTATGCAGAAAGGAGACCTGGATGGTATTTTGACAGCAACAAGGAGCCAGGAAGTCAGTTTCATGTTATGCCCTACTCTGTGTCATCAGTGACCACCATGCCACTGCCCAACATCATTAGAACCATAGAATCATTTAGGTTGGAAAAAAACCTCTAAGACCATTGAATCCTATAGTTAGCCCAGCATTACTAAGTCCACCACTAAAGCACGTCCCCAAGCAGCACATTTGCTTGTCTTTTAAATTTGGAGAAGGTCCTTCCCCAGTCATCTCCATGCAGTGTTGAGTGTGGCATTCACTGCCTGTTCTTTGCCCTCCCCAGATCTGAAGAAGGATTATTCAGTCCTTATTGTCGATGTCTGAACGGAAAAGCTATGCAGTAGGTCTGAGTCACAGAGACAAGGTGAAAACAAACTGGAGAATTTAGAATGCCAGCTGCTTCCTGATGACAAGTCAAAATTAATCAGGCTGCTTGACCACTACTGGGATTGCTAACAGACAAGTGTATGTATATTGTCTTGTTTTCCCTCTATTGCCCAGCCTGCCCTGGGGTCGTATAATTTACAGGTAATTAAGTTCAGCAAAGATTACTGAAAAACAGAAAAGGATGCCAAGCTAACTTACTTTTATTCATCTGCCAATCAGGCAATAGTATACTTTTACACATACCTTTGGAAAGCTCTCCTACAGACTCATGCTAAAGGGAGCTTAACTATGCCAGAACCTAAAGGGATCCCCATCCCTTAGAATGAATTGAGTCAGACTAAAAATCCCTTAGGAAAATCACCTCTTCACTTCTTCCGGTAAAAGGCCATTCAAGTCTAATATCACCCCACTTGAGTTTTTACAGGTGTCTAACTCCTGCAGAAGCTAAAGTGGAGGGTGCAATTTTGGGTCCAGGGGAAACATGTCTAGATAGGTCATTAGAGGGACAGAGAAGGATTATTCTTCTTTATTATAGTAATCAGGATATCACAGAGTTTGGGCTAATTCACACTGATGTGCAAGAACTCTCATGTTCAAAGAGATCACAGCATGGTATGGCATCTCTATGGAGTAAAAACTATGGAGCATTTAGTGACTTCCTGACCAGCACTCCAAAAGTCTTCAAAGTTTGAAGAATTTCCTTAAGAAAAACACAAACAAACAAAGAAAACCCATCTTATTTTGTTTGCAGGTAAAAATTATTTCAAAAAAATTATTTGAAGAAATACAACTGTGAATGTGCTCTTTGATTTTCAAATTTGAAAACTAGCTGAAATTTGTGTTAATGTGAAAATCACTGCTGTATTTGTTTTGAAAATTCATTTTAAATATTCAAAAACATGTTTAATAATGTTTTAAAAATAAAATACTTAGCTCTGGTACTATTAAAGTTCACCACAAGGCTTAAAGGAAGACCATCTTTCCATGAGAACTTCTATTTTTTTTTTCATAAGAATATAAAGTATTTACACTTATAATAGAGGTCCATCTATCATGGTACCTATCTGCCAGTGGCTATTGACAGCTACCAAGGCGAAACATTATTCTTTTTGAGCTTTTTACTCACAGTCCAGCCATGATTTCCTGAGCCAGAGATCACACCCAGATCATCATGAAACACACTGGAAACTTCTCCTACCTCAATATGGGGGTTGGTTGGGTTTTTTTTACCTTTTATATATCTGGACTATAAAACAACCTGTGGCAACAAGTTCTCTCCATGTCCTGTGTGAAAAAGTTCTGCCTTGACATTAATTTTGTGTTGGCTTTGTTTTATCTTTTACAGTAGTTTCAACAACCTTGTTTATTCAAGAGGTGCAAAACGTTTTTCAAAACTAGAAATGTGTATTATATATTCTTCTTAGTGATATCAAGATAAGGTAAGATAAATTAGAATATGGTCAAATTGCCTGGGTTTTGTCCAATTTATAAGAATGTTTTCTTCATTACTTTCACAATTCCTCTGTTTAATTCACCTTGTGCACAGAAAGACTGCTGACTTTCTCCCTCTCAAGCCAGTTCTCATGGCCCAGTGAATTTGCACAGACTTCCTATGCTGAGTTGTGCTTTCTGTGAGCAAGAAGGTCCTTCTAGGGCCTAAAGTACATCTCAAAAGAAAAAAAAAAACAAAAAACAAAAAAAAAACCCACAAAACCCCCCAAAAAACCCCAAAAACAAAAACACCAAAACAAAACAAAACATTTTTAGACAGATGATTTCAGAAGGGTGTCATGAAAACCCATTGAGCTAGTCTAGATTCTTTTATGGTCAGAATCTGACCTAAATTCCCCTAAGAAGCATATCTAATCTTAAAAAAATTCATTATGTTTACTCTCATTGCCTGCTACATCTTGCCAGTGTGTGGCATGAAGCCATTGTGAAGGTTAGTACCAGGACAAAGCATGATTTTAAAATGTTCTGAATGTAATTGACTCAGTGGTCAGGTTTCCAGTCCTAATGCGCTGGCTGCTTCAAATTAAATTGAGTTCTGGCAGGCCCCTTGTCCACATCAGAGGAAAAGAGCATGCAAATCAGAACTGGAAAAACTGAGGCAGTTTGTGTTCCTGCTTATGAACAAGCAGACAAGTTAGCAACTCAGAAATCAGCAGCTATTAGTTTATTGGCAATTCATGCAGTTTAAAAATAGGCACAGAAATTTGTAACGAGACTACTACCACCCTTCCCTCCACAAAAAAAAAAAAAAAAAAAAATCACCTGTGATTGCAATAAAACAGTAAAAAAGTGGTAAATTCCTAAGGCAGCTGTTAAACTGGAGCAACTGAAAGGCAGAGAAAGAAGCTTACACACATTGCCAGCCCCAAATATTTAGACCTCTTGAGTCAGAATCATGATGCTAACTTGAAAATGCTCAAAAATTTGATGCCTTGTCTCACAGATTTTAGTCTGTAGATTTTGAATGCAGCAGAGGACCAACAAACAAACATTTCCTTAAATTAATTTGGGAACATCCCTCATTGCACATCCAGGAAAGCTTTGGGAAAAAGACATAAATGCCAAAAGCTGAAAATATGTCCCGATCTAAATGAGCAATAATTGTCATATCAAAATAGGAGAGGTCCCACCACTGACTGACATGAAAAAGCAGAACAAAACCTGTACAAACCTTTCTTCTACCCCAGTTAAGTACCTTCCTGGAGTTGCAGTGTTTCCCCAAGCGATGGTTTCAGGGCCAAGAGGTCATAGGGGTTCAGGGTGGTGTTCTGGCACCTCTCACCTCAGAGCTGCAAGCTGTCCTGGGGGAAATCAGCAATGACCAGGCTGGCTGTTCCTAGGCACAGACATGCCTACGTGGTGCTACGCCAGAACTAACAACACTGGTCATTCCAAACACTCTGTTGAGTGTGACGCCCTGACCTGGCCCACAGTGCATTGCTTTACACTCTGTGGAGGTACTGCTGGGAGATGGAACATACCAGCCTGGAAATCTTGAAGTAAAATATTTAACCATGCACTTGGTTGTGCATTTTGTTTGACTGTAGCTTTGGATTGGCTTTTTTGGTGTCACGTTCACTTAAAACCAGCAGGTTTCCTCTGTTCATCTGCTACAGGCCCTGAGGCTGAGCTACCAACCTTGCTGCAGGGACAGGGAGAAAAAAGAGAAGAAAAGTCTCCTGTACTAACTCTAGTTCAGCTTATTTAGAGAATTCAGACTATTGTTATGTCTCTTGACGAGTGAATTGCTGCTTTTACAGATAAAAATACGAACAGGCTTGAACACAAAGATGAACACCTATTAAAGAGGAGAATGCAAACTGGTTTAAGACCCTCTGGTTGGCCCCATTCTAGAAATGTTATTATTTTTGTAAGTAATTTACGTGACATTTCCCCAACCTCTAGACAACATCTACAGAAGTCAACCCTGAAGGACTGAGCCTTTCTTATTTCAAAGTTGTCTCAGTGTACTCTTCCAGATGTAAAGTCAAACAAACCCTAGCCCTAACCTCCTTTTGCAGACTGATTTTCAACCATTACAGTGTGTCAAATTGGTATATGCATCACACCAAGTAAAAAAAAAAATCAAACCCCAAATCCCAAACTCTGAATCTTGAGTACCTGTCCTGAGGCTTGTTTCTAAGGACTTACAGCATATAAAAATTTTTCCAAGCTTGGAGAGAATATTGGAATTCGGGAAGTTACAGTGGTGATTCAGTGAAACCTTTCAAGGCCGCTTGCAATTCACTCATGAACAAGCCCTGATCGTCCCTACTTAGGTCCTCACGGCCACAATAAAGCCCTCACAGGCTTGATGGCAACAAGACAGAAGGCACAATGTCTGCACTCAGCACAAGCAAAATCTCTGACTTATTAATGGGTGAATAGATAAAGCCAAGAACATAGAGATTTGTAACATAAACAAGCACACCTTTGTGCACACCCAACCGCACTGCAGTTGTCTCACTCTTCTGTTTCAACTTCCATGCCAAGCAGTGCCTTCTCCCAATGTCTTTCCTATCATTATTTACTATTTCCTATTATTATTACTATTTCCTATCATTATTTCCTATTATTTACTCTGAAGTTAATCTCCACATGTACCTTGAAAATTTTTATGTACTTCTTTCTAAATAAAGGCAGAAAAATCCCCTGTTCCCTGGAAAGAGAACGATCTGAGATTATTCCTTGCCAAATCACCAGTCCCAGGAATCAGCAAGAACATTCCCATTCACAGGTTTTCATATACCAAAGTACATTGTGTTTAACATTGCTTTAATGCATAAAAAATGCACTAGGCTGGAATCCCCCTGATGCAGCAGAGCAAGTGGGAATTTAATTTTTTGTAGCGATGTCCTGCATGGAAATAAGTTCTTGATCACCAGCTAGAAGTTCGCTTGTTCACAGCTAGTCCAGATGTATTTTAGCATACAGAATCTGGTACCTGAGGGGAAGAGTAGATGTTTGTGACCACAGGTGAGTCTAACTGCAGCAGAACAATTGCACAAGGGAAATAAGATGCACGGACAGCAGCATGGACAGGACTTTCTGGACACCTCTACTAGCAGCTGCCTCAGCCAGCTAAACCATATGAAGATGGAAACTAATACAAAATTTTGCCAGCTGTGCTGACCACCTGTATGGCTGATGGTCAGGAAGCTGAGACCACCAGGAGTACATAACAGTTCTCCATCATCTTCACAACCTACTCCAGGCATCTCAATGTCACAGAGAGGGTGGAAGGCATCAAAAGGGCAGTTAGGAACTCTGCACATGGGAGGTGCAGGTGTACCCTGCTGCAGTCCATTCAGCCTGTACTCTGCTAGACCCACCACTTCAAGAGTAGCCAGATCCTTGCATGCAGTGGTAAAACTATTATTAAGCATTTCGATTTTGGTTTTTTGCTCAAGAATCTGGGTAGGTACCTGGGTAGGCTTCAAAGGTGAGAGAAGGCCACTTGAGTGATGTCTGAACAAAAAAGAGGCCTGAATTGCTTCCACCCACCCAGTACTACAGGGAAGCATCTGTTAGCACAGCAGGGCCAGAGATGGGTGTAATGGGTGCTGATCTACGTTTTTTCCCACTCACTGTAGAGAGCATAAGTAGAGGCAGTCCAGTTGACAGAAACAGTTTCCACAATAATATGATAGGTGCTGCTGGAAAAGATTTTTATTCCTTAAGTACAAAAAATTACATAGGTTTGTGGCTCAGGTTGCCTTTTCTTGCTGCTGTCTTTGAAGTGGGTTTGGTTTTTTTGGAAGGAATAATCCATTTTATCACAGATAGAATGTTTTTTTTAAATAGGAATGGAAGAAGTAGGTCCAGATCCTCACATATTCTTTATGCCAAATCCATTCAAGTTGTCACTCTCCACATGTGCTGCTCCATATTTTGTGGTCCACATATTCCAGAAGAATTTTCAGAGGCAAGTGGCAGAGACTATACAAGCCTAAGTGAGCTCTCTCAGAAACCTGATCTCCTCCCTGACCATTTCAAATGGCAGCAAAGCAATTCTGAATGTTCCGCCCAAATGAGAAACATAGATTAGCTCCCCAAATGCATTAGCTGTAACGTGCAGCCAGAGCAATGCTAATCCTAACCCAAAATCTGCACACTGTTTTGGGACACAGGAACTTGAGCATCTGCATGGTGTCTGTGCTTTGGTCAGCCTGAAAGGCAAGTAAAGTAGTTTGCCATTGGCAAATCCTAATCTTCCAAATACTGGTGGTATCTACTTGCCTTACCTCTCAAGAAAAGGATTGACAGCCACATTTAGGAACCCTTGAGAAAGGCAGAAAACAATGTCATATGATGCTGATGATCAGACCATCTTGGGTGTTGCCAGTCAAATTCCCTATACTTGCCAATATTCCATCTGGAGACTTTCATTTAAAAGAACACCCTGCTTTGCTGTAATCTGTCCCAGAGTGGGATTTCACAGTGTTATGCCTGTTCAGCAGACTGGCTTATCTCAACCAGTCTTATTATCAGACAGCGCAGTTTACAATAATAACGAGACACCAGTTAACCCAATTTGGCATATCTTGTGGCTGTCACGAGAGACATGCTTCTCCAGGACAGAGAAGGCTTTAAAACAAGTTGCCCTTGTTTGGTGAGAGCTGAAGCTTCTTTGTTGAAGCCTGAATGCTCTGTCAAGTAGACAGGATTTATAAAATACATTGAGCCATGAAAGGGGCAAAGATTCCCTTTCAAAAACAGTTGTTTTCAGAAAAAAAAACAACTCATGAAAACTAACAGAGACTTTTTCCCCCTGTAGAGAACCTAGTGCACTGCACGGATGAAATGGAGAGAGATTCTGCAGAAGGAATAAACATGGAGATCTTTAAGTCCCAGAATGGGCTGCTTCATCAGAGGTGAAAAGTTAAATGCACCCTGCAGCAATTGTTCAACTTGTAAAGATTAGAATTAATGTCTTGGCAAGATACTTTTGGGAGTATTATGGAGAGTGATTAATGTAGTCTTCTTTAGTCGTCATTACCTCCTCCACCTACACCCCAAAAACTTGATCATCTGCATTTCTTCCTTTTATATTTATTATTTTAAGATAGTTATCACTATACTGATTTGACTGCAGCTTCTGACCAGAGAAAGAGCACAGCCATCACGCCTGTGTTCAGACAGACCTGCCAGCTATGGAGTAATAGATCAGCATGAGCAGAAAGGAGGGGACTGGAGTCAGGATGTGCTGTGCAATTAAAGTAACTATCTGTTCAAGACAAAAGCAAGCTTCACAGGCTTACATTTCTATTCTTGTTAGAAGGTGTGGAACATATTCATGATATGGGAAGCTTTGTCACTGCTTGCTGCTTTAAAATAAAGTGTGGAGCATGCACTTCTTCAATTAGAGAAAATCTTTCTGATTTGGTCAGCAAGAGGTAATCACATGAGTGATAGGTACTGTATGTAGGTTCACATGGGCCACTTCACAATGGCTTTCTTCTTAGGAAACTGCCTCAAGAACTTCATGTGTAAAACCAAAACCTCTAGTGTCCCAGCATTTTGAGACTGCCTGGTAGTTTCAAAGGAGTGAAAAAAGGCTTTAGTGGCCCATCCAAGACAGATATGTACCCTGACTAGATAGGTGGGCACTAGAGTAGGAGAGAAGGTTCTGGAACAAAGTACTTAAGCATGTGGTAGTACCCCAAAAACGAAGGTTTCCAGGGATTCTGAAATGTATTAATAAAGGTATAGAATCACAGAATTGTTAGCTTGGAAAAGACCTATGAGATCATCAAGTCCAACAGTTAACCCAGCACTGCCAAGTTTACCACTTCACCACATCCCTAAGTGCCACACCTACATGTCTTTTAAATACCTCCAGGGATGGTGACTCAGCCACTGCCTTGGGCAGCTTGTTTTTCCTAACATCCAATCAGAACCTCTTCTGGTGAAGCTTGAGGCCATTTCCTCTTGTCCTGGCACTTGCTGCCTGGGAGAAGGGGACAGTCCCCACCTGGCTACAGCCTCCTTGCAGGCAGTTGTGGAGAGTGATAAGGTCTCCTCCCTTGAGCCTCATTTCCTCCAGGTGAAACAACTTCAGCTCCCACAGCTGGTCCTCATAGAGTTTGTCCTCCAGACACCTCACCTGCTCCATTGCCCTTCTCCAAAGGGCAATCCTCGATAATCTTTCTGTGGTGAGGGGCCCAGAACTGGACAAAGGACTCAAGGTTTGGCCTCACCAGTGCCAAATACAGGGGGAAAATCCCTGCCCTGCTCCTTCTGGCCATGCTATTGCTGGTAGACATCAGGATGCCACTGGCTTTCTTGGTCAACTGGGATCCTTAAGAAGAACACCTAGAGAAAACATCTCTCTACTTTCCAATGGGCAAATG